TTCATTCTCTTAAGTTACTTATTAATAAGATATCAACAGCGTTTCTAGTTTTCTTCTTCAGAAGTAATGTAGTAATATAATGTTTCTAGTATGATTTTCTTTCCCATTGGGATTTTTTTAAATTTTATCTTAAGAAGCATATAAGAACATGGAAGTTTTTGCACATAGGGCAGAATAGAGTCAATATCCTGTAATTGTGGGAATGAGAAGACATTTAATCGTAATTAATGCCACAAAGAGGGAATTCGGCAAGTCGAGTGAAATATAGCAAAAGTGGATTTGAATTTCTGATTCTTAGATATTATGTTGTTCCTTCAATTTCAACCTTGACTTCCTTGGTTATTTACTTGGATTAACTTCAGTTTTCATAAAGCTTAATAAATCCACTTTTCTTTATCCTCAAACTGGGCTCATGAATTGCCAAATGACTTTTATCTCCAGTAGGCTTCACTATTAATATTGTGATGTTTCGAGGAACTTTAAGAAATATAAACATTATTTCCTAAAGTGAAATTGGATATTATATCAATCCTGAAAATTTTAGAGTTTTTAGATTTCTTTATATCGACTTCAAATCATGTAAGACTTAGTTTTTAGAACAGAATATCTCTGTTTCCTATATTTAAATTTCTAGAGAAATACGTCGTTATTTGCTCACTTTCAAGGATTCAGGTATCACGAAATGCTGATCATCATCCAGCATTTTTTGCTGTATATAATATGGAGACAACTGAGATTGTTGCATTTTATCAGGTATTTGTTGGTGAATCAAGTTAATTTGTTTTCCTTTTGCTATTAGTGGAACTTTTTTTTTTCTTCTGACAGTGATATAATACGCTGCTTCCCCTAGAATTCTGCAGATGAGCTTTACCTCTTATTTGAGCAGTACTGTGATCACTTCCATGCAGCATCTGGAAATTCCCTGCATATGCATTTCATATCTACTCACTCAAATAACGTTCATGCTCTTGAGCAGCTGAGGTGCATTAAGAACAAAGCTGGCAGCTTTACACAGGTTTAGTCAACGTATTATATTTATTCTTAATCTTTTGTGGATTTGCTCCAGATTTCTATTTTCTCTTCAGGTTAAATGTGACAATCAAAATATATTTCTAATGATTACTGCCATTATTATATGGTTTCTCCTGCTATAACTCAAAAAATTGGCTGTTGTCAGTTTGTGAAGAAGATTCTGGCATCTTTGCCCTTCAGTTGCCAATCACAGAGTCCATCTCCTTACTTTGATCAATCTCTCTTTCGGTTTGATGAAAAGGTTGGATTCTCCAGAATTTATTTTCAAATTTTTTCAGCATATTCTCTCTTATTTTCTACTTGCTTTCTTGTAACATACTACAATACACTTAACTTGAAGCTTATATTTTAAGGTAACCTGTGGAACACGATAACAGCTGAAGATACCATCTTTGAGTTTCTGGCTAAATGTCCGAGGATAGCAGAAAATATTGCCTAATTTTATGAAAGTTGCCAGATCTAGTTGAACTCAAATTCATCAAGTTTCTAGTTTAGTTAGACTAAATTTACATGGTAAAACCTGTGGAGTTTTTGTTATTAGAGATTGTTGAAAGGTGGATCATTTTTCACTAAGAACTGGGTTATAAGATACTGGGACTAACTATTGAGCTGCTCGCCCTTTGCTGCATTTTATGCTGAAAGCTCTCCTTGGGTCTCCCAGGTAGATCTGAGGGCAGTTATCATGTGAGCTAGTTCTACCAAACAAGACATTTTAAAATATTGGTGGATATCATTAAGCTCGGAAACAAGTTTGGGATCAGTGAACTCCTCTGAGGCCATCTTATAGAAACTGAACGTAACTGTGGTACAAAGAAAAATGTTATCTTATTACTTGATTAACATTTATATTGATGAAACTATTTTATGATTGATGGTTCAATTGAGCAGCAGTCTGGTAGGTTCAGTTTGGATTTGTTGCAGACACCATGATATCTATTGAAGTTTGGTTATTTTCATGCCCTGCTGTTACAGTTGATTTCTGCATTGGACCGGCATAGACAATCAGCAGATCATCCTATCAAGTTTATTTTGAGAAGGCAACCACACACACTTAAATTTAAGATCAAGACAGGTATAGAATTTCATTGAGGTATACTCTAGCTGAAGTCGTTTCATCTCTTAATTGCTTATAAACTTAAGGACAGTCATTTTATGGAAACAAAAAAAGGGAAACGCTTGGGGAAGGTCATTTTTGGATCGATTATTTTCATTTATTTCACATCTAATTGGTTAATTTGTATGATTGTGAGAGCTTCTAAGTGAATTGAGATGGGTGATTATACTGTGGTGCAAAGTTGTGAACTGATTGGCATTAATCAAGATCTCTGGGTTTCCTTTAAATATATATTTTTTGTTTAGGGCCTGAAACTGGCAGCGCTGATGGTCGGAACAAAAAGATATGTTCATTTCTTTTTCATCCATTTTTGCCCCTCGCTATTTCCATCCAACAGACCTTATTCCTGCCACCATCGGTTGTAAATATCCATTTCCGAAGGTGATCAACAATTGGAGAATTAACAAAGCTAAATCCAAGACAGATTATTACCAGTATTTTATGTCAATGTCAATCATCGTATGGGTAAGTTTTGATTATAGATTCTAGGGGGTGTTTACCCAGACGACCAGGACTGAGATTTTCAGAATTGGTCCATGGTTGGCCAGCACATCAGTTCCTTGAATCTTGTTTATGTATAGTGATGATTGATGAATAAAATTCTCTTCATCACCTTGTTATTTCTTCAGACAAAATATATTAGTTTTCTGATTCAATTTGGATTTTGGTTTGAGAATACTACTGTAGAAGCAGAAGCCTAAATGGATCACGTGAAAAAAAAAAAGACCATATCATGATGGATGGAATTAAATCATGAACCCAGTTTAAATTAACAGCAGATTATGATATCGCCTTCTGTTGCTTGAATTTTTGAATTTTTTATTATTTAAATTGTGATTTTTTTGACTATTCAGTGCTATATGGTTTAAATATCACGTATTGTTTTACGCAAATCACTTGTGTTATTATTTGTTTTTTACTTTTAAGTTTTTATTTAGCTATAGTTCAAGTATTAAGAAATTCTCTCGTTTAAAAAAATTAAAAATTGAATTTTAAGTAATATTTTCTTTAGATGGGATACGTGTTTAATTCTGAAAAAATAATTCGTAATATTTAACTTTAATAAATTATTTGAGTTACATGCTAAGTAATAATTAGTAATTGGAGAATTTCTTAAAAGGTTTCAGAAAAAGAAAAAAAAAAAAAAGTGAAGAACGTAGAGGAGGAAAATATAAATAGAGGGAAAATGAGAAAGGAAAAGATAAAACTAAAAGCACAGCCAGTCAGTCACAGGCTCCCTTCATGCTTATGTTCGGACGTCTACAAAATGACCAAATAACGAAGACTAAGAATTAGAGGAAGCAGCGAGATAGGCGGGGCAAGCATGAGAGCATTGGGGTTGGCACCAGCAGCGACGCTGTCATTACGGCAGCACTGTGGAATCGGACTCAGACTCAATGCTTTCGCCGTTGGAGGAGGAGGAGGAATAGAGGTGGGAGAGATAAGAGAGAGGAGCAAAAGGTGGATATGGAAGGACAAATTTTCCATTAATTACTTCTCTGCTTCTCCAGCTTCACAAACTAACACTCAGCAGCCTCGTCTTCCACCCGTTCTTCTTGTTCATGGCTTCGGCGCCTCCATTCCTCATTGGCGCAGGTAGCATTTTCTGGTTTCCTGGTAGCTTTTCGGCTTCTTCCATGCAAATAGCTTGGCAGCAGTTAATGTTTCTTTGCGTCGCCATGTCTCAACAGTAGAATTTTTTATTTCTTGCTTTCTTTTCTCGATTCTAAGGTTTCTTGCGGTATAATGTTTGCTTGCTTGGCGAATTTTTTGATTGTCGACCTGGAAGTTGGCTCGAATTTAATATACTTCCTGCCAGATTTATGGATGAGAAGCTTGCTTATGTCGGTTGCAATCCCTTGTAGATCGGAGTTTTAGCTCCAATGTTCATTTGCTTCTCACCGATTAGGTGGAGAAGGGGCTTGCTGATGTAGTTATTAGTTATAATCCCATGTCAACTTGGAGCTTTATCTCTTCAAGATGGAGCTACATTACGTGGTGAAAGCAGCTGCGTCGGCTGAAATTTAATATCAAATATAAATTGTATTATATAAGTAGCTGTATTTCAATTAGTTAACTAGTTTTGTGTTTGCGAGATAGAAAGAGAATACAAGACATAATCATTGATACAATTATGTATCAAAATTTGAAACTAGTTTACTGAAAATAAAAGCATATGATATATAATATATGGTTATCTATCAATAATTCCATCGGTTAAGCTATAAGCCTAATTACTAATATGTGTGAACTAATATATGATGTCTAGAAAACTGATAATAGAATTTTTAAAAAATCGACTTTAAGAAACTTGCCTGCATGTTATTTTCTTGATCTGTCATGTTTTATCTCCAATAATCCTGTGCCCCCCATCAAGGACATGGGTTAATCCTTTTGGTTGTCTTGCTTCAGGAATATTGGCACTCTAGCCCAAACGCACAATGTTTATGCCATTGACCTTCTTGGCTTTGGTGCTTCGGATAAGCCACCAGGTTTTTCCTATACCATGGAGACATGGGCTCAGGTACTCTTTTTCTTTTTACGCAAATGTTTGTTTTACCTTTTTCTTACATTTGTAAATGCCAATATTATTCCTTTTGAGCCTGAAAGTGACGACTTGCAGCTCATACTTGACTTCTTGGAACAAATTGTTCAAAGGCCAGCTGTTCTGATAGGCAACTCTGTTGGAAGTCTTGCTTGTTTGATTGCTGCCTCAGGTCAGGTCTACCGTTTTTCTTTTTGCCCTTGGTGACATTCACTTACTCTGATGTATCTACTTATGGACAATTGATATTTATTCTATCTGTTTGTTGTTTATGTCCAACAAGAAGAATCCAGTTCAAGTCTGGTGGCAGGTCTAGTGCTGCTAAATTGTGCGGGTGGCATGAACAATAAGGCCATTGTGGATGATTGGAGGATTAAGTTATTGTTACCTTTGCTCTGGTTATTTGATTTCTTGTTGAAGCAAAAGGTGATTGCGTCGGCAATTTTTGAGCGAGTGAAACAAAGGTAAGCTTCTGTCTATTTTTCCACTAAAAATATTTTTGCATTCCATTTCATCTGTTATCAACTTAAATAATAACATATTGATCACTCAAGCTCTTTTATGCTGCACTTTGAAACAAATCTCCTTTATCTATGGATAATGCATGCAGGGATACACTGAGGAAAATTCTATCGTCTGTTTATGGGAACAAGGAATCCGTGGATGAAGAACTGGTAGAGGTATCAATTTATCCTCTTTCCTCATAGACTATTGACCATGACTGACTAGGTCAATTTAATTAGACATGGTTAAGAGTTTTGTTTATGTTTCTGGATGCAGATCATTAGTGAACCAGCAAATGATGAGGGGGCACTTGATGCATTTGTTTCCATTGTGACAGGGCCACCTGGGCCAAATCCTGTGCAACTTATGCCCAGATTATCATCCTTACCAGTTTTAGTTTTGTGGGGTGATCAAGACCCTTTCACCCCTCTTGATGGGCCTGTTGGTAAGTACTTTGCTTCCTTACCCTCACATTTCTCCAATGTTAGCCTCTTCGTGTTAGAAGGAGTAGGACATTGTCCCCATGATGACCGACCTGACTTAGTCCATCAAAAGCTGCTTCCGTGGTTGGCTCATCTTCCTCTTTCATAAATCACGAAACATAAATTTGCATAACATTCTTTCTTATTACAATCTTTTTCTAGTTGATCAATATAGTATATGTAAAATGTAGCTATCTAATTTATTTGGTTTATTCCTCCATAGTACAAATTACTATGCCTCTAAAGCCACATTATTTAGTATGTAATCTGAATCAGGAGTAAATAAATGGTGTTCCAAAGAGCACAATTAGTTGGAAGATCCTATCAATGTATTGATTCATTTCAAAACTTTTTCAGAAAATTGACAGAACAAAAATTTCAAAGTGAACTCACATTTATAGGATCTTTAAATTCACCTATTCTTCCAGAGCACATTATTTACATTTAAAAATGAAATAGCTAAACAATCCATAGTTTCCATCCTTTTATATCAAATGCTTGATAAAACTAAGTAAATTCACCTTCAAAAATTTCCAGCAATTTCCCAAAAGAAATCCAAAAGCTCTAATTCAACAGGACAAATTGGAGCAAGGGACCGAAAATAAAAACATTCAACCAATCTTTAAGGTTTGTGTATTCTTCGAGTTCTGTGTCCTTGCTTCTAAGTCAAAAGCACAAGATAGATTCTACCATAACCGAGCAAGAAACTAACTAGTAGGCTCTTGCTTCTTTTTGTGTCCTTGCTTCTAAGTCAAAAGCACAAGTATGTGTCCTTATAGCTTAGTGAAACCTTTAAACTTTCTGCTTGCATGTGCAGGACAACCTCTTTGGGGTTATAAATTTTTACAACCTCTTTAGGGTTATACTCAGAAAAATGAAGGCCTTAGTTGTCTATATAGCTTCCAACAGTCCAAAGCTCAAGTCTATACATAAACATTCAATGTCAAAGATTAAGATGGTAATTATCTGAAAACAGAAACGACTGCATATAAGCAGCTCACAGCTTTCACTTTATGTCTTGAGTATAGCCTGTAAAGAGTTTGTATATAGACTTGAGTTTTTGGCCCGTTGAAAGCAATATGATTTAGGAGTTGGAGAGAAAGAGAGAAAAGAAAAAAGAATGAGGATAGTCGAAAGGAAGAGAAATGAAACTATTTTCCTTTTTCTTGTTTAGATGCTGAAAAAATGGAAGACTAAATTAAAGAGAAAAATTATTTAAAGTTTTCTAGTTATTGGGTAAAAAGAAAATATTTATTTTTGTACTTTTATCAGTAATTTAGCATTTTTACTATGTTAGTTCAATTTTTCATCTTATTTGACTCCAATGTAGAGGAATTGCAGTGTTGATAGAGTGAAAGAAAATGAAGGGGTAAACCTTTTCTCTTTTCTTCAAAAACTAACCTCCCCTCTGATTTCCTCGGTCTACCTCCATCCAAACATAAAAAGATTAGAAAAAACTTGATTTCTCCTCTAGGAAACTGCAACTATAGGCGCTAATCACTGTTTTTCCTTCATTTCCAATCAGCATGCAGTTAGCTTCCTTGAACAATCACATCCTGATGCGTGTTTATATGTCTCCTGTACTAATGCCACTGTGAGAGGCATTAAAAACTTGACTGAGCTCCACTCCTGAGGAATAGATACACACACACACACACACACACACACACACACACACACACACATCAAACAGGATCCAGAATTTTGTTCGTAATTATCTGATCTTTGCCACTTTCATGGATATTGCAAGAGATTTGTAGGGCATTCTTTATTTTTCTTTATTTTTTTTCTTCAGAATATTACTCATTCTTTTGGCCGTCCTGGTGTTTCTACGCTTAGGTTCTTCATGCTTTCTTAGACTTTTTTGCTAAGTGACTGAGTCAATTGGATTGGACTTAATGTGACCAGAGGGAACATATCTCAGCCAAAAGTAGATATTTTTAGTCCATGTTTACTGATATGCTACTTCTTGAGGAACATATATGTTGCATGATTTTTAAGTAATAACAAAAATATAAATTATAGGTAGATCTATTAATCGTTTATTTTTAGACATATATTAGCATTTGAATTGAGCTCTACTTGTGTGTCCTATTTTTTTATTCTTTAAGATTTGAATCTGAAAAAGAAATTTTGCAAGGAAGTATTAGCCTAATTAAAATTATTCTCATTCTACTTCTAAATTTTAATTTTTTGGTATATAGAATCTATTAGTTATTTATTTATGCGTAACTATAAAGGAGTCATATACTCACAGAAATAACTAACTAAAATTAGACATAAAAATTAGGATAAACTTATAATTGTTATTTATATTTGAATATCTTTTATTTATATTATTTATTCACATTGGAAAAAGAGAAAATTTGAACATAACGTTTGTAGCTTAAAGATAATTTGTGAATTCTTGGTGTTAGATCAGCCAATTGTTGGTTCTTTTTTTTTTTTTTTTTTTTGGGAAGTATCCAATTCTTGAGTTAATTGTAGAATACCAACGCCAAAGTAATTATATGAAGAGTGCATTTTGTATAATAAATTTTCTGTTAATATATACATTTTTTTAATTATTAGTATATTATTTCAAGATTGCATTTACTGTTACTTCAATTCTTTTCTTTCATTAATAAAAGAATATTAAAACACTAATATTTATTTATGGTGCAAAATAATCTATCACCATAGGAAAACGTTGTATAGGTTTATTTTAATAACTAGCTATCATTTTAGTGTATTGTTAAGTTGCACAAGTTGGGAAGTTGACCTGAGGAATTATTTGCACAAGTTGAGTGGAGAATATATATGGTGAGTTTTGCATGTCATGCAAGGTAGAATTTCATCCACAAATCAAAAGCTGGCATGTAACCTAAAATTTATATATATATATATATATATATGCACATATATAGATATATGGATGGCATATTAATTTCAAAAGTAAAACTAAATTATAGGAATGAAAATTCAAACGTGGTGCTTTATGATAAGGAAGCATCAATTTAAACCTGATTCTCTTGACTTTTTGCTTGGACATTATATAATATTGAGATTTGCTAGATGAAGTGTAATATTAACAGTACCAGTGGCGGAAGAAACTTTTTTTCCATTATTATTATTATTATTATTATTATTATATAATTAATAATAATAAGAATATGTGTCTGTGATTTATGCGAGTTAGTTGAGTTGGTAGAAAAAAGCTGCATTATGTTCTTTGGCACTTTATGTTTTGATTTTTTAAATAGTGATTCGGAAGTAAGATTCTAAATTTAACACCTCAATGTGAGTCTTAAAATATTGAATAATAATGAGTATTTTCTTGTGATCTTGTATTGAAATCTACTTGAGACTAAAGCTGTTCTTGTGTGATCTTAAGAGCAAAGAATTCTTGTATTTATCTACTGTATTCATAATATTACTATTATAATACTATATATAAAGACTTGAATTTTAATTGACAAAGACTGAGATAAATACTTTTTTAGTTAATAATTAAACTAGCTGTTAGTAGTTACCATCCATCGTTTGAGTCAAATTATTCATTTCTGTGTGTAATTGTTAGAAAATTAATTGCATTATTTTATTATTAAAATGTTAATTATATTATTATTAGTGTGTAAAGATCATCAAATTATGAAGATATAAAAAATTTCTAGTAAAAGAAACAGCCATAGTAGTTCTTTTTAACTCTAGTAGTTAATATGGTATGTGGAAATACTTTCTATACCAAAAAGTTGAGCAGAGAATATAACACCACCTTTTTGCTTCGATTTAGTTCTCTGCCAGTCACAAATAAATGGCAGAATGCATAATCTTCACTAAAAAGCTATAGTTGCCAAAAGAAAGAAATAAGAGAAAGTCAACTATAATACTAGCTTTCTTTGTGATCATATGTATGTATGTGTGTATATGTATGTATGTATGTATGTATGTATATATATGTGTGTGTGTGTGTGTACATATATAATCTTAACAAATAGGAACAGAGTTAGATGCAGGGGAATCCTATCCTATTCTTAAAGAATGAGGTTCTTTTCCCCCCACCATGAAACCCTCTTTTGCTTCGTTGACTCCTCTCCTGTTTTGTGTTAGTTATTTTGTTTTGTTAGGATACAAGCAGGAATGACAATTGACAAAATGCTAACTTTGTAAAAGGGTTAAATTTAGGATTAACTATAATTTCTGTTTTGTTTGAGTCTTATTACAATTTAAATTATGCGAGATAATAATTCAATATTTTGTAGTTTGAATATTTTGGCATTTTATATAGAAATATTATTATCTTATAATTTTTCTTTGAATATTTTTTTTTTTAATTTAGCTTCAAACTATTAAAGAAATAAGCATGTAATGTTGATCGATGTGTACTCATGGTAACAAAATATGTTCCAATTAAGATGTTAATAAGATAAGAACACGTGTCATTATGAGATTGAAACATATCCCTAAAAGAATTATATATGTATAGATATGGTATTGTCACTTATTAGCAGGAAATCAATCTGTAACCCAAAAGTTCACAGAAGAGTCTTGTAAGGCACTCTTTGATTTTGTTGCTTGCTTTCCGTCAACACGAAGATAAAAATCTTCATTTCTTAATTAATTAATTAATTAACTAATCATGATTTGAGAGGAGAATCCAAGGCCATACTACTTCAACTTTCTAATTTATCTATACTTTTTGGGTGTTGGGGCCTATCTAATAATTCTAATTGTGTGATTAACCGTTACCTAAAATTGTGTGATAAATCAAAATATATAAGATTAATTACTAAGAAACATCATTTACATGTACCTATTTAATGTATTCACTTGAGGGCGACCAGCCTCTAGCTTTTGTCTTGAAAAAACACGACTACATTTACATTTATATGATATATAAACATATATACATATATTTATATACTCTTGTGTGTGTGTGTTTATCTTCCTTTTCCCTTGATATGGTACATACAAATAGTACATGGTGCCTCTAGCTTAATTGCATCGTCGTGAAAATTTCAACACATCGACCTCGTATATGGTCTTCTAGTGAATTTCTTACTAGTACCACCAGCCTTCTGTATTATCAATTAATCCGTGCTTTGTGTTCTGGTGATCAGTACAGAAAATGGCATTGTGCCTTCCGTATACTGTCACGTACGAGGTAGGAATTTAATTAGAGCATAAAATTATTATTTTAGTCTTTGTGTTATGCATATGTTATATTTAGCATTCAAAAAACTTATACATTTTTTAAAATTTATAAAATTGTAGTAGTCTATAATATTTTTATACATTTATGAAAATTTTGACAAAAAAATGATACAGGTTATTTATGTTTTGTTCATATTTTATTTTGAATGAAGTTCAAAAATTATAAAAATTATAAGTTTAGTTTTAATAAACTTAATAAAATTATTAATTTCTTTTATTTAAGTAATGTAAAGAATAATACCATACATTTAAAAAGTATATGTAATAATTATTTTTTATTTTTTGAATTTATAATCTTAATTAGAAATATTATATTTTAAAATTATTTTTTTATTACTCAGTTCCTATTTTTTATGTTTGTAAAAAAAAGCTCTATAAAAAAACGTATTTTAAAATCATTTTATAAATTTACAAATTAATTTGTAACCAAATTGAGAAAATAAATTGGTAATTTGCCTTTAATTATGTTAATGTTTGTCTTGATATGATGAATTAAAAAAAATCTAGATTTGGTTCCTTCTTAAGTAATTAACAAATTAATCTCTGCCTCCCTCTCTCTTATTCCTAATCCATCTATATATATACGTAGATGTATATAATTGTGCATACACAGAAATATTATAGAGAAGAAAATCAATTATGGTAATGGGGTTTAGAATCCAAGCCAAGCTCCGGCAAGCTCTTGGCTCGGTCAAGGACCATGCAGCCATCGGCAAGGCCATGATATACAGCACTACTGGTCAATACGACGGCAAAGATTTTTCAGAAATAGAGATCGCAGTCCTCCGTGCCACCGGCCACGATAATGGCCCGATCGACGATAAACGTATGCACGAGATTCTCTTTCTGGTTTCCAACAGTCCCTCGCCGGCTGCCTCCGTCGCATTTCTCGCCGAACAGCTCTCTCGCCGGCTCGCCAAGACCAAAGACCCGCTAGTCGCCCTCAAGACTCTTCTGCTTATTCATCGTCTCCTCCGCGGCGGCAACCGCTGCTTCGAGCAGCAGATCCGCAGCGCTCATGTCTCTGGCCATCTCCAAATCATCACCTACCATCAAAATCTTGATGATGATCATCATCTCCTTGTTGCTTTCCTCCAAAAGTATTCAGCTTATCTGGAACAGCGAGTGGGTTGGCTCATCAATCAAGCCGGGAAGCTCGAACCAGCTGCTGCTCCTTCTGCTGATCTCATCCCTCAAACTCAATTCAGATCATCCCACGATCATAACAACTACATCAACATGGTCTTCCGGAGATTACCCAAGTGCCAAGAATTCTTAGAAACCGTCTTGAACTGTTCGACGCCAATATTATCATTTACTTCCTTGCCTTTCCACCAGAACTCGGCGGCGCAAGCGGCCATGAGCAACACCTTGAAGGAGAGTTTCCAAGTCTACGTGACGTTTTACGAAGGCGTCACGGCTTTACTTAATATGTTCTTCGACCTGACAAGGCCCGCCAAGGCTTTAGCCTGTGAGATTCTCAAGAAAGCCGCTCGACAAACCCAACAACTTGACGAGTTTTACCAGAGATGCAGAAAGGTTGTCCATAACAAAAGTTTGGATTACCCCTCGCTACAAGTCATCTCCATGGATCATGTTCTGGCATTAGAGCATTGCTCTAATATTCCTCCGGCACCTGCCACCATACTTTCCGATCACCAGCTTCACTACTCAACAACTAATAAATTCCCAGGTAGCGTAAATATCATTCCCGATGATATAAATAACGCGAGTTATGATTCCAGTACTGGTTTGGATTTTAGTTTCTCGTCTACTGCTACTCTTTTTCCGTGTACGCTGGATACCAAGATTAGCATGGTGTGGGTTGTGTTCGAAGATGATGATGATGATAATCATCAGAAGGGATTATTGCATCCTCCCCACGAAAATGGTGAGTGAAGTAGCATCAATGATCCATCATTATGAATACTTGTCCTTTTGTTTAAAGAATTCAATGAATGCTTACAGAATTATTACTCATCATGATGATCATAGTCGGGATTGTGAATACTTAATTCAGAGGATTTACATGAGCCTCTTTAAAATTAACTAGACTTTTAGTTGGTATTTGCAATTTAATATTATATATATATATTTTTAGCATAACTATTTCAATAATTAAATAGGATATATATTAATAGTGTAATTAATAATACAATAATATTCTAAAATAGGATGTATAATCTAACTCAGTTTCTACCATCATAAAAATATACGGAAGTGTATATAAAAGAATTCATCTTTTTTTTTTTTGTTGATTAGTTAATTTGATGAAGTATAAATTTTATAATTTGTATAACTGTAATTTGAAAGAAACTAGGAAGGGGCACCAGTGATAAATATATATATATATATATATATATATATATATATATATATATATAATAAGGAGTATGATCTTGTTGGAAGGATTAATCAGTGGGACAATCTCATATTCACAACTGAGAGAATAGTTGTGGTTGTGGTTATAAGTAAAAATAGGTGAGTGTGAGTTACAATTACAAGGGTATGAGGAATGCAGATAACTGTAATTGATTTATTTTAATTCTTTTTAAAAAAATTTATGTAGTAAACGTTTCAAATGTAAATGTAATTGATTCATTTTATTTTTTATTATTTAAAATGAAGAATCATATTTATAAAAATTTTCACTCTTCTATACTCATACGTAAAGTATGTATTTACTATAAATACTTTATTATTTTATATTACTGTATGTATTGTTAATTTAAATTAAGATGAAGATGGTAGTTAAATAAGTTTGTAAAATTAAAAAACAAGAATATAAAAAATTAGAAATGAAGTGTTTATTTTTGTCCCACATTTAACAATTTAATAAGTATTCTCAATCCAGAACCAAACGAGGATTTGAATTAAATATGTTAATATTTTAATTTTGGTTTATATTTTTTTTCTTCAAATTTTAAGTTTTAATCTTATATTTTTTTTTTAAAAAAAAATTTAATATTGCTTAATTTTGATTAATTTCAATTTATATTTGTTGGATTTGGAAACATATCAAAATAGATTCGTTTTTTAATTCTCTACTACTTAGATTGAGTATCTTATCAATTATTATTTCGATTAAACTAAGATACTTAATAACTAAAAATAAAAACATTAAAACAAAATGCTTTTAAAGTTGATTATAAGTATGAAAAGAAATTTCAAACACAATTCAATTTAGATATAAACAATACAAACTAAAAAGAGCTTAATGATTTATTAATCAAATTACTTTTTTCTTTTACAAATATTTATAATAAAATCTTATCCCATCTCGGACTTTTGAAGGAAAGCGTGTTGATCCAAAATGTCTAATCAGTTCTTGACGTGCAACTGAAAAGATATATTGGTTGAATTTGATGGATTGGATATTGTAATTAACGTTCAGAAAATTTGATTTTGCAATTCCACTTAATAAATATGATTGCTTATAATTAATTACACATATTAAATTAATTAAAACAGAAAAGAGAAAATATGATAGATAAATGTAGATGATAATACAGATGTTATAATTAAGATTAGAGTAAATTATTAAATTAATTCATAAATTTTGGTTATAAAATTAGTTGTTAATTTTCTTGTTACAATTTAATCTTTTAATATATATATATATTTTAAATAATTAATTCTTTTTTATTTTTAATAAACAATTTAAAATAATTAAGACATATACTTGTACGCTTTAAAAAGTAATTTAAAAATTATTTTCAATGATTAATTAAATTAATAACAATAAAATTATATTTAGTATCTTTATTATCTTAATTAATTAGTAAATTATGTTTTTTTTTTTTATGCTAGAAAAGGAAAATCATAACAGAGTGTACCAAGTATTTCTTTTGAGTTATTTTCTAAAAATTATATAAATATAAATTAATTATATTATATTTTTAATTATGAAATAAAAAAGCTGATATTTAAAAAAGTAATTTTAACAAAAGGAAAAAATATATTAATACCAAACTATACATAATAAGACTCAAATTTTAAGATTAGAAGCATAATTTGCACTTGAGATTACATAAGGTAAGTCAATAATGGCTACTATTAGAAATGTTTGATGAGTCGTCCATATCTGAAAACTGGAAATCTAGCTCCGGCGGCCAATAGTACTGTACTAACTGATCATGATGGTGATGGCGGTGATCATGGTGATCTGAGATGGGTTGGGGAATTGGTGGACTAGTAATAACAGTAGTAGATGATGAAGAAGGAGCTACAGTGGGAATGGGATCAGAAGGGTCAAGGGCGAGTTTCAGACCAGCAATCAGAAACCTTTGATGGGCTAAGCCGTACGGACTGTTCCTGTGAATATCCTCATCACAATCCTTACACACTAATTTCCTGTCTTCCAAACAGAAAATATACCCTTTCTTCTCCTGCAAACATTTTATGTTTCCATCCATATATGTTATATGCCATACCATATATATATAACCCATTGTCTATATTGAACAAAATTTTATAAATAACCCAATTCTAAATAAAATTTTACCAAGAAAATAATGGGTCTTACGTAATTGTGTGTGTGTATATATATATATATTATAAGTAAGGTAATTAGAATATTACCGGGCAAACGTCGCATGGAGGAAGTTGATGGGGTTGATTAAGGAGCGAGAGACGGTGATGTCTCTGGGAAAGCTTGTTGGCTGTATGGATTTTCTGGTCACATCCCCTGCAAATAACTGCTTCATCCGCACAGCACAGAATCCCCCCCTCCGCCTTCCCGCACGCCTCGCATTGTATCTTCATTATATTCTTCCTTTCTATGTATATATATATATATATATATATATTTTTATCTATAAATATCTCTTCCCTGCCCTCCTCTGTATATAACACTATGACTTATACATATGTAGAGGGCTAATGAAGAAAAATTAGAGAAATACTGAAATATCTCAGCCACCACCGGCACTGCCTGCAAATACATCAACTTGATCTATAAATGCATGTCATGTGTCTTGTTCTTTTTTATCTCAATTAACTTCGTAGCATGCATACATAGAAGATATAGGCTGTTGCCGTTGACACTAAGCCGAGTATATAATAATAACTACTGACACCTACATTCATCAACTCTTTCACTCTTCTATTAATATTATTACATTTTCTATTCATATATAATAATTGAATTGTAAGTCAGATTTTAAAATTTGAATTTTTTATAGTGAGATTGTGAAATTTTTTCTTTCATAATTTAAATTGTTGTCTTGGCGAAACTTAGGAGATTAATTTATTGATAAATATATGTCACAATATGAGAAATTATTACATTAGTATTTAAATTTAACATTTATTATAATTTAACGATGAAATAATAGAATTAAAAAAATGTATGCACTGTAAAATTAATGGAGAAGTTAATTAATGAAAACAGTGGTAGGTGGGTGTTGCTGTCCGTGTCCTGAAAAAACAAAAAAAAAGTGAGTAGTGTGGGCAAGCAGCATCCGCCATGGACCACCCAAATTGAAGTGGATTGAGATTTGTTTTCTTCTTCCCTTTTGTCAGATAAATGGGCATGTCCAGATCCATCGATGATCCTAGAAACTCACCCATCCATCTTCCTTGTTTTACTTATATATAAAAACGTTATAAATTAAATATTATGAATAAAAATTTAATAAATAAAAAATTTAATTACAAATTTTTATAATATTAAAATAGTGTATCCGAATTTTAGGAATTTTTTTTTTTCTTTTGTCAATGATCAAATATAGAATCACCACGACAAGAATTGGTGATTTCTATGAAGTTAAATTTCAATATGATCTCAAATTGGAAGTCACTTTAATTTCAATCACCCGTTATAAGGTATACATTCAATATTGAAGATGTTTATTTGCAAAAAAAAAAAAAAGAGAGAAGGATATCTGACTAGATAAGTGGACCGGTGAAGATCCAAAATTTTAAATAAAATTAAATTGTTCGTGTCGTGGTTGATTAATTTCATGACAAATGATATCGGTAAAATTTTTTAATTGTACGAGACAATACACAAAATTTGAAAAACAAATAAGAAATTCTACTCAGAGCAGAAAAAGCACATATAATATATATATATATATATACATAAATTCTACTAATAAATCTTTAATATATCACTATTTATATGAAAAGTTGAACTACGTATTTTTATATATATTTATTAGAAGATTGAAATACGATGAATGGTTAGGTATCAATTAATATATTTTTACTAATATATATATATATATACACGTATATCCTTAATAAATATCTTTCTTTTTAAGGCCTTTTTGTTTAGAGTCTAATTTATTTCTTAAAAGCCAGTAGCGGTTCACTCCAGCAAATGCCGGCAAAAGACACAACACCTAACGAAACACAACAAATGGAAGCACAATGGGCCTGGCCCAACATCATAAAAGGCCTGAATAAATAACTAGTCCTCTGTCTTCGTCTTGATCTTTCAAGAACCTTTGCCACCTAGAACGTTCTTCATCTCTCTAAAAAATCTTCCTTACACACAATAGAATTTTAAAGAACCTTCTGCACACATCTATAGATCTCTTCTTACGTGTATATATATACACACACATGCAAGCCTATCTTCAAGGCATGTGTCACAGCATTAGTAATCTCCGGTGACGACATTCTCCTCTGTCAGAATATCAAAACAAGCAGACAACACAGCTCAAAACCATCAAGAAGAGAGAAGAAGAATGAAGGGGCGCTCACTTTCCATTTCCAGCCTCCTGCGAGTCCTTCTGCTGGTCTCACCCTTCCTTGTTTCAACCGATGGGTCCTTGTTACCAATCATTGATCGTCCAGGCAGTCTGCTCTCCGATCTTTGGCAGGACAACTTTCCCGATCCATTCCGAGTTCTTGAACAAATCCCACTAGCTCTTGAAAGAGCAGAGAGCAGGGCACTTTCTCCGGCGAGAGTAGACTGGAAAGAGACACCGGAAAGTCATGTGATCATGCTCGATGTGCCGGGATTAAAGAAGGAGGAGCTCAAGATTGAGGTGGATGAAAACAGGGTGCTGAGAGTGTGTGGAGAGAGGAAGAAGGAAGAAGAGAAGAAGGGAGATCAATGGCACAGAGTGGAGAGATCATATGGAAAGTTCTGGCGGCAGTTTAGGCTGCCGGAAAATGTGGACTTGGATTCAGTCAAGGCCAAGCTTGAGAATGGTGTCTTGACCTTGTCATTACCTAAGCTGTCCCCTGACAAGATCAAGGGTCCTAAGGTGGTCAGCATTGCTGGGGGCGAGGATGAACCTGCAAAGCTCAATGTTGAGGATGGCAAAACAAAAAAAGAACTTTGAAATGCTTTTCTCCTCGGAGAAGTTTCTTTGATAATGTAGATGATGAGTCCTTTCTGAGTCATACTATGGTTGTTGAATAAGGGTTTTACTGTATCTTGTGTTTGGTTTTCTTGCCTCCTTTCTATGTAATACCTAATGTATTCCTCCCTGTTTTGTGATATAATGTTATCTCTAAAAACTCTTATGCGAATGCAAGTGTTCTTAAAAAAAATATTTTTATTTTTCTAGAAAGTCTCTCTAACATCTATCCAGTTAAATTTAATGGTAGCAGTGTGTGATTATTTAAGCAGCAAATGAAGCATCTTACAGCTTGAGCTGAGAATTTCATACTCGTAAATTCTTCATTTCAATAGCTTTCTAGTACTTCACCCTCGGCAAACTGCAGGCTTACTGTCATCTTTAACAGGTTTTACTTCTCACTCTAATAAATTAATGGCTTCTGAAAAATAAGAGGAAAAAAAGAGAAAAAATTTGAAGTATGTATTCTCTTCCAAGAAGGTTAAGAAGTTTTTTAGATGTAATCTTCAGTGAGTAATAGTAGAAAATCAAGCTTAATTAGAGTAAGTTCTCTTTTTTTTTTGTGTGGAAATAAGTTAAGAGTAAGTTCTCTTCTCTGCTATAAGTTCTGCTTGCATTCTCACATGACCTTACATCTTCCGCAATGCGCACTGGTGACTCGAGAGTCCATCCCCTCCAAACTGCAGGAAACAGAAATAAAACAATTTAGATATCCCAATATTAGCATATCGTTTTCTACAATGGAGAGTATATTTAGTATGAAAGCTTGACCTTACATCGACATGATGCAACTGGGTTTTGTTTTCTCAAAATGTTATTAAAAATAGAATTAAATATTTTTTAATGAAAAATTATATATTTTAATAATTAAATAGTATTTATATATTTATAATAATACAATTAACTTTTTTTAAAAAATAAATATGAATTTTTTAACAAATACACACAGAAGTGCAATTCATCTCATATTCATATCATTATAGAGAATAGTAAAAATACCAACCATCTAGTTAAGGATGGTTAGTGAAATTATATTTAAATTATCAAAGAGTAAAAGCCATACCTTTTTATTACCTGAACTAACCATTACAAAAGGAGATCTTCCCAAGGAAGTCTTAAAAATGCTAGCCCAGACAAAGTCACTAAACTCAGCTTGTCGTTATCTGGCTTCTCCATGGTTAAGGTACAATTTCAAGGCCAAGCTTGAGGATGGTGTGTTGACTTCGTCCTTAGTTAAGCTGTCCCCTGACAGGATCAAGGGTCCTAAGGTGGTCAGCATTGCTGGAGTAGAGAAGGACCTGCAAAACTTAATGTCAGTAATGGCAAAACAAAACATGAACTTTGGAATGCCTTTCTCCTAGGAAGTTGTCTTTCCTATGTAGATGATGAGACCTTTCTGAGTCATACTATGATAGCGAGAATAAGGGTTTTACTGCATCTTGTGTTTGGTTTTGTGGAGTTTTTTTGGTGTAATGTCTGATGTCTTTCCCCAAATTTTATGATGTAATGTCTTCTGCCTAAAAAAAAATCCAATTCTGCATAAATGCAGGCCTGCTCTTATCTTCAACAAATTTTACATATTTACTTTCTTCCCTATAATAACTTTCATTTTGAATCTCCAATAATTCCAGATCTAAAAGCTTCAGAAATCAAACAAAGAAAGAAAAGGAAAAAAAAAACTGTGAAAGCAATCTTCACTAAAGAAGTTTTCGGATGTTGCCCTCAGTAAGAAGTAGTAGAAAATCAAGCTAAAGAAGAGCAGGTAACTTCTTTCGTGTGCTATCCATTATCTAACCTGTTAATCATCGATGGGAAAAATTATCATCAAAATGTTAATTCTGTCAACAGATGATCAAATAAGAACTGCTTGCATTCTTACCTGATAATATAAAATCTGGTCCAGCAGGATATCTTCTTCAATGCACAATTACTTCGGGAGTGGTTGAGAAATCCATTTCTCAAAGCTGCAGGAATAAAACAGCATTTAATTAGCGTATGGCTTTCCATGATGGAGACTATATTCAGTATGAAAGGTTAAACAGGGTTAAGAGATTTCTATAGCTTCGTCGAAAATAACAATGATATTTCTTCCTTTGAGATTCTGGTTAGGATCAGAATGCAGTAGTTGATTAAGTGTTCCATTTCCCTGCATTAATTTTCTAGCTGAAGTTTATTCGAGAATCTACAACTTTATTTGTTAAGAAAAATAGTACGTAAAAAAGAAATGCTATCTGGACCTGAGCTTATGAAACTCAAAGGAAGCAATCTGTATTTGACTTTTATTGCAAAAGAAAAAATTGTTTCCTGTACCCTCAACACAAGCCTATCTGGAACGGTCAATTAGCTATTCAATTTGATTAAAAACAGGTTAAGAGACAATCACTTCAAGCTAAGTAACCATGTGTTTTCTTCAGAAAGCTTGAACTGCAAACAAAGTGGTCAATTTTGGGTTGCAATTGAGGGAGAGGGCATGTGAGAGCTTATGATCAAGTTCATGGTCAAAAATTGGGTTCGGGGAAAGATGGGGTTTCTTATTTCATCTCATTCCAAATAGCTTTGGTTGAAAGGAACCAATAGGAAAGGAAAACCAGAAAGATTCCATCTGTTTCATTGCCAAAGGTAATAAAGCATAAGATAGCTTTTAATTCTGCTATTTTGTACGATCTGGCAGCTTGCCAGTTTCGTTCCCTTTTCTTGATGACAACTTAGCTTGTCCATACTCTTCCATTGTAATGATCTAATAAATAAGGGACCTTGAGGAAAATAATTATCACATCACAGTGGAAAGAGTATTTCCTATTTTACACAATGTTTCATGAATGTTTAAGCAGTGAACCTAAGGTTCAAAAATTTCGGCCAAGTCCAGCTACAATCAGCAGGTTAGTTTATTAACAGTGAGATCAAGGTCAATTTTATCAACAGGTAAAATAAGAATTGTAAACTAAATAATCAATTAAACGATGTAGCAAAAAATGGCATACAAAAATTTATGCTGAATACCCGCTCATGCAGAGATCAAAACTAGACATATGCTTTCCTTTTATTTTTAATTCGAGTGAAGCTTTAATTTATCCATAGAACATTAATTAAAAAAAATAAAAGCACGGAGTTGGTTGCTTCTGTTCCAAGAACGAAACAACAATCTCAGTGAAGCCTATATCAGATTCGAGCAAATCAGAGGGCTCTTACCACAGTTGAAAGGAAGTGTTTTCCAAGGAACAGGCCTCAAATGGTCTTAACTATGAAGAAGACACGTTCCTTCTTTTCCTTCAGGTTGGTTAAACATTGCGATAGCCCATAGCAACCAGGTATTCATATCTTAAGCCTGATGCGGGACCGGCAAACAAGCAAAAGGAGTTAAAATTGAACTTCAAAGTCAATTTTATCCAAGGTCATGTATATATCCTCGGTTCTAGGATGCGATTTATCTACAGAATAGAACTGATGGACTTGGTTATCAACCTCAATCCAACTACAACCTGGTATTTTAGGAGTATCCCGCTCCTTTAATATCTTCCTGACTTTACGTACCTGATCCCACTTTCCTAACTCTCCATACAAATTTGCCAACATCGTACCATAACCCCCATTATTTGGATCTAATTCAATAAGTTTTTGAATAGCAAATTCTGCTAAATCTGCACGACCATATTTTTTACATCCATTAAGCAATGAACCCCAAACAACCTCATCGGGTTCAATCTTCATTGTTCTAACAACATCCAGTGCTTCCTTAAACCGGCCTGCTCTACAAAGAAGATCTACTAAGCATCCATAGTGCTCAATTCTGGCTTGAATCCCATACTTCTTAGTCATCAAGTCAAAATAAGTAATACCTTTTTCTATCAATCCTCCATGGGTACATGCGTTCAACAGACCAATAAAGGTGATATAATCTGGTCTTACATCACATTCTTCCAACTGCATCATTTCCTCAAACACACTAATAGCCCACTCACTTTGGCCATGTAGTGCGAAACAATTGATCATAGAATTCCAAGATGTCAAGCTTTTCTTGGGAATAATCTCAAAGACTATTCTTGCCTCTTTCAAGTTTCCACATTTGCCATACATATCGACCATAGCATTGGAGATAAATGAATCCAGACCAAAACTTTTCCTATAAACGTAAGCATGGATCTCTTTACCCAGCTGAAGCATGCCCGTGTGGCCACAAGCAGAGAGAGTACACACAATGGTTACTTGATTAGGTCGATTCAGGTGATGTTGTCTTCCTTCAAATATCATTCTCCTGAAAAGAGAAATTGCTTCAGGAAACATCCCATTCTGAGTACACCCTGCAATAATGGCGTTCCAAGATGGAACATCTTTATCAGGCATTTCTTCAAATAGAGATAAAGCATCTCCAAGCTCCCCGGCTCTCGCATAACCCGAAACCATGGCAGTCCAGGACACAACATTCCTCTCAGACATTTCATCAAACAGTTCCCTGGCAATCCCGATATGAGAACCGGACCTGGAATATGAATCAACAAGAGCCGTTTGCACAACGGGGTATTGGCAAAAACCGGATTTGACTATGGCAGCGTGCACCAGTTTCGTCCCGTAAGGAACCGAGACCTGAGGTGTGGACTTCAGAACGTGAGGGTATATGAACTGATTAGGCGCAGGGCGTCCTCGACGGACCATGTGGCGGTAAAAAGCAAAGGCGGAAGTGGGATCAGACTGAGATGCATAAGCAGTGAGCATGGCAGTGTACAGGTAGATATTGGGGTGGTGAAGATGATTGAAGATGAAGCGAGCATAAGCAAGGTCGGGGAGTTTGAGGGTGCAGAAGCGGAGGAGCTTGAAGACGTAGAATTGAGAATTGGAGTGACCAAGAGTGACGAGGAAGGATTGAAGTTGCTTGAGATGATTGAGGTGATTGCATCTTGAGAGTATATCCAGTACTTGTTCGTTCAGATTCTGCTGGTTTGTACCAGCAACAGCGAGCATCATTCAAATATTTTAGCGAGCTCCTCGGCAGTTTCGTTTTTTAGCTGTACTGCCTAAAACAGTACAGACTGAGGAAGAAGACAAAAGAAGAGAAAGAGTTTATTTAAACAACGACGATAAGGAAAGGTGCCATTTTTAGTAAAATGAAGGAAACGTAGAGAAGGAAGAGAAGCGAAGGAGATAAATAGCGTCCATAAAGAAAGGAAGAGACGGCGTTTGCTTCCATATTTCCTCCTACAAACACTCTCTGCTTCTGCTTTCTCTTTTTCCTAATATAAAATATAGGAGGAAGGAGAATCAAATCACGTGCAACTGCGTTCATTCGATATACATACATATATATATATATATATATATATATATATCACTTGCTTCTGCAGATCCCGAGTCCTCACCTTTCTCTTTTTCCAAAGTTTTACTCTCTGGTTCAATTGAATTTCTTTTCTACATGTCTCGAATTAGACTGTGGCGATGGCGGGAGCAGGTCGCCTCACGCTCTTCCTCCCTGCTGCCTCAATCCCAACCTGCGCGGTTTGCGCAGGTGTCCCCCATTTCCACACACCTCAACCACCTCAAGAACCTGGCCTGGCCCCGTCGGAGGGAGACGTTGATTGGAGTACAGGAGCGTTACAAGTGGGAGCACGGAGGCGGTGGTGGTGGAGGCGGCGGCGACGATGATTATCATCATAATCAGACGCCTACTCGAAAGATCAGGGCGGAGGCTAACTGCCCTCGCTGCTCTAAACACATGGATCTCCTCTTCTCCAACTGTCATTTCCCTTCCACTCTCTCCCCTCCGGTTGACGTCAATCATCTTAAGAGGAACAACGGTATTGGCAACACAGGCAAGTCAAACGACTATCAGGCCGTCAATTTCTGCCCCAATTGCAAGACCGCCTACTACTTCCGCCCTCACAATATTGCGCCTCTGCAAGGCAGCTTTGTCGAGATAGGCCGGCTAGGTAATATCAACAATAAATCCAACAACAAGCTCAAGAACACCAATGGCGGAGATCATTCACTCAATAACAACTCAATCGCTAGTTCTAATCACGCTGCTACTCGTAAGAATAAATCGTTTTGGGATACTATGAGGTTGTACGCAGAGGAAATGATTGATGAATGGCCACCTGCACCGCCGACTGGGAATGGCATCGCGGTGCACACTCCGCCAGGGCCTCCCTTTGCCCCTGGGGTCAACGTGATTCGGGCCACTGATGGGTCATCCAGTGGAGTTGGTAATGCTGGGTGGGGTGGCTCCAATTTGGGCAAGGATTTGCCTACGCCAAAGGAGATTTGCAAAGCTCTGGACAAATTCGTGATTGGCCAAAGACGAGCTAAAAAGGTCCTGTATTTCTTCCGCTTTTTGAGCTTTCTACTAGGCATTATGTTGCAGGTCTTCCTATTTGAGCTTTCTTCTCAGACGTAGAAAATGATCAACACATTGTTGTTGCAGGTGCTTTCAGTAGCTGTTTATAACCATTATAAGAGAATATACCAGGTCTCCCTGCAGAATGGGTTAGTTTCTGGTTACCTACATCTTCAAATCTGCACTTAGTTGCACCACTTATCTTCTTGAATTAATGCACAACTAGGGTAATTGACAGATCTGTTCTTACCTTTTTCCCACTTTAGGATTCTCTTTTATTGTCATTAGAGAAAACTGAGGTGGTGAATTTTAATACTAGGTCAGGAGAAGAAGCAGGGAGCTCAAAAACAGTAAATAATGATGATAATGTAGAATTAGAAAAGAGCAATGTGCTCTTAATGGGACCAACTGGCTCAGGTGTGAATCTGCATTTCTATTCGGTATGTCTGCATATTTTTGTTCCAGGATTGCTAATTCATGTGTTATCAACAGGGAAGACTTTGCTTGCAAAAACTCTAGCTCGATTTGTGAACGTGCCTTTTGTCATTGCTGATGCAACTTCTTTGACACAGGCAAGTATATTGACATCGATTTACAATATTAAATGTGAAAAGGAAGAAAAGAAAAGGGAAAATTTATTATCAATAAACCTGCTCAATATATGTGGGTGCTGTAACCAAATCTCCTAACTAAAAACTGTAAAGAAAACTTGCTTGTGCTTACGTGATTCTCTTGGTGTCTTCTGCTTATTGTAATCATATATTAATGAGAAAAGGAAATTTGGCTGTATTCCAGATTGCATATAAACATCTTCTTGATTAATTTTATTATTGCACAATAGAGATATATGCGCCAGTTTTGCTTTAGTGATTCCAAAATTCAAATAGCCGCGGTATGAACCATATCTATATAAAGGTTGATCAAATGCTGCTTTTTGCAGGCTGGTTATGTTGGGGAGGATGTAGAATCAATATTGTATAAACTACTCACGGTATACTTCTAATTTTGCATGTTCAGGTTTAACAACTGAATGTATACTCTCTTATTTCTGTTATCAAATTGTATTATTTAAATGGCTTAGCATGAAATTTTTTGAACAAGGCATTGTGTATGTCATGTATGATGTTTATAATTAGTTGAATGATTGTCATGCCCAAAAAAAGTTTATTTTGTTTTGTTGGTTTTATGTTCAATTATTTGCAATATTTTTACCCCTCTTGAGCGCTTTGCAATGTGGGCAGAAACCTTGCTCATAGATTGTGACTTTTCGGCTAAATAGAAGAGAAAAAAGAGAGAGATATTTGAATGGCAAATTTGAGTTTTAAATTCCTGCTGCGCTCTTCCTTCTGGAGAGCTGTTTATATAGGCAAGAGGGCACGCTCTTCTGTTAGGCATGTCCTTTGGTTACAACAGAAATGAAACAGAAATGGAAACAAGAATTTTATGCCGTTGCTGAAGTACAAAACTAACCCCTTCCCTCACACTTGTTTCCTATTTTTCCCTTCTTCCTTTGGTACACCTTCAATGGCTTCCTCATAGAAACCTGCAGCTGTGATTTTTGGGCAAGCAGGGACTCTATAAAAGGTTATATGGGCAACTTGCAAAACTCATTTGCATGGCCTTTGAATAGCCGCCAATTGAACTAATAATTGCCCGATCAGCTGATTTAGATTGTGTGTTAAAATTCAGGAGAAAAAGAGTTTTTGATGGATGAAAAGAATCCAAATTTAATTCTATGCAATAATTGAACAATATATCTAGTTATTAGTTTTTCTCCGAAAGGAAAATGTTACTTGTGGATCCATTCTAATGGTTGAAGTTAACCTTGCCATTTACTCATATTGACGATATATCCCTGCATGCTCATGCTTAACACTTGAACTTTCAGAACTTGATTTCTATTTTTATCTTCATGCAAAATCTTGTAGCTTATCAACAAGATCACAGCTTTTCTTTTGCATTATGGCTGTTAGGTAGCTGAGTTCAATGTACAAGCAGCTCAACAGGGGATGGTTTACATTGATGAAGTTGATAAGATAACTAAAAAGGTCCTTTAATATTTTCTGCACATCCATAATTCTGATTTAATTTCTGGCTGCTGTTCAGCTTTTTCCTTGGTTTTGCAGGCTGAAAGTTTAAACATTAGCCGAGATGTTTCTGGGGAGGGTGTTCAACAGGCATTATTGAAAATGCTTGAAGGAACTGTGAGTTAAATATTTTTTCTCATTACTTATCCACACATCTAAATTTGTGGGCATCAAATTTCTTTACTGAATCCTTAAGGATGCTGCTTCTATTAATTATGCTCCGTACAAGTAGTTAAAATTAAGAGTTAGAGCAACATGGAAGGAACTACTAGTTGATGTTCCTGTGTTATTAGTTTATTTATGCACATCTAATGTGGCAGCATCAAAATTCTTCGTTGAATTCTTGAGGATGCTGCTTCTAGAAATTTTACTCATGTACAAGTTTCAAATTAAGAGTCATAGCAACGTAGAAACATTGACAACTTTTTGGTCTTTGTATTATTCACCTATACTATTGTTGGTGAATTTTCATTTAAGAGGCAAAATACTGCTCATAGAGCTATTAGTGTAATTCTTGCTTGTCACTTTTAAGATTGAAGATTCTTGTTGTTTGTCCAGATAGTGAATGTTCCTGAAAAGGGGGCAAGAAAGCATCCTCGGGGTGAACATATACAGGTATGAAATGCTTAATGGCTAGTATCCTTTATATTTTTATGATGATTTTGAATATATGATCATGTCTGAAAAAAAATTATCTGATGGGTATGAACTAGAATGCATGGCTTTAACTTAGATGCTCTTCATTTCCTTTTGCATGTCCCCGGGTGTGGAAGCTGATGGAAGTAAAGTTCTCTTTTTTAAACGAGTTTCTTGACTAGCACTAACCCATTTCCCTTTGGACACCTGTGTATACTTGTTGAGTCTCAGGTTTTAGTCATTTTTTAGGATGTGCAAAAAATTTTTACTGACTGAATGCCCTTGTGGTTGGTAATGATCTTGTGTTGTATCCTTCGGAAGATAAAAAATCCGTTACAAAGACATTCATACAAGACTTGAACATTATCTCAACAATATCTTCTTCAATGTAATTATGTCAAAATCAAGATGTCTGCATTTGTTCTTAAAGAAGTATGTGCTAGCATTCCTACTTTTTAATGCAAAACAAGGTGAATGCCACTAGTAATTTTTGTTAGTGGAATAAAGAAGTTGGTCAATGTAGATGACAATTTTATTGGTGAAATGAAAATTGTCTTCTTGCAAAACTGTAATCAGCCAAGGATAAATAATACTTTATCTCTTCTGTTATGCAGAATTGTAAAGATGAAATCTGTGTGTGCATGCCTGCATGATAACTTCTGATTGGTTTTAGGACCATGAGATCTTGACATGAGAGATGGTTTACTTGTTATGCACTTGTTCGGTTGTGTTGTACTTTTTCTTCATCAATGAAGAAGATGAAAAGTTATTCTCTTGTAAGCAATATAGAGATTACAAGCAGTTTTTTTCTCTTCTTTTATACAATGGTGATAGTAGAAGGAGTACTGCATGGTGGAGGCATAGATCATGGCGGAACTATTGGCATTTTGGAAGTGAGCAATCTATAATTCTATTTCCTCCCCCTTTCCCTTTCTTTGGCTGGGTGATGGATCAGATAAAGGGGAACAGAAGCATTATTTAGCACGAAACAACCTTGTAGATATAAGTCTCACTTGATTTAGTCTAAATATTTCAGTTATAGTCGTTCAGTTTGCAAGTGTTGACATTTGAAATGTTTAAATTATCTATTATCTGACACATTCATGTTACCTAACACTGCTATGAAATTTTTGGGCAGTTGATCAGTTTGATTCTTTTTTCTAGGTAACTATATCTTGCTAATATATCTCTGAATATGCTTATTAATACCTGCAGATCGATACAAAAGATATTCTTTTTATATGCGGTGGAGCATTTGTTGACCTTGAGAAAACCATTTCTGAAAGGTAATTCCTTTTGATATCTTTTTTGCTGAAACCTCTGACCAAATATTATTGGCTTGTGCTAAGGGGTTTCAATTGATTGTCTCTAGACGCCAAGATTCTTCAATTGGTTTTGGAGCACCTGTCCGTGCTAACATGAGAGCTGGTGGAGTAACCAGCGCTGCAGTGACGTCATCTCTACTTGAATCAGTAAGATTGAAAGACCTTGAAAACTTCAATTTCCTATGTCTAATTTATTTATACACTCCAAGCGTTCCGCTTTATCAAATTGCTCCTCTCCACCCTGGGAACCTCGAAGTTCTATGGCTTAAGTTTTTAATGAAGATTAACCTGGCAATTTTCAGGTTGAGAGTGGTGATCTTATTGCATACGGCCTTATACCAGAATTTATTGGACGCTTTCCAATACTAGTTAGTTTGTCAGCTCTAACTGAGGACCAGCTTGTTCAGGTGCGACTTAATTTTTTGAACAGATAAAGTAGAAGATACATTTAGTTGCTGAAGATATATTATTACCTGTTCTTGGAAAGTTATTTCTAAAGATATTATACCTATTCTTGGGGACTGATTTCATTTCAACAAACTTGGTGAGATGAAATTCAGCAAAATAAGGCTTTGTGTTTATATATGTTGAAATTACTTTGTTCTTTCAACTTTTTAATTGTCTATGTGATGCAGAATAGAAAGCTCCTAAAATGAACATATTTCAATGATAGAAAATATGAGGCAAAATCAATAAAGAAATATAAATGTTTTAGGAAATTAACTAAAAGGAATTGGAAGGTTTAATGTTCTTTTCTAACTTTTGGAAAATTTTACAACAAAAGAAAATAGGAAGATTTATTTTCTTGTTTCTTAGATTTTCTATTTCCCTAATTCTTTCTATTTCCCTAATTCTTAGATATTACTTTGATCTTTGAGGTCTGAGGTCTCTAAGTTTTATAATTTTCTCGAAGTTTTATCCTCAAGCTCTCTTTGTCCTACATCACTATGCTAATGAGTCTACTTGTCGAGGGAATGCATTTTATTTCCTGTGATACAGACAATTCCAATAATTAGGCTGAAGTCACTGCTCTAAACTGGATGGATCAACTTTTTCTGGTTCTGTGAAGAGGGCTTGAACTCCGGATCATTACTCACTTGGCAGCACTTTATGCCATCTGAGCTAGCTAACTCTGGCCGGTTGGGCCTCACTTGACTTCTCATAAGTTTTTCTTTACATTTGAGGTCAAAGATAGTAATCAAACCACTGATATGCCACACTAGGCATGGTTTTCTTATACATTTGCATATTACATGTTTAGTCATAAATGGAAGTGATCAACTCTGACTTGGAACAAGAATTTGTAATTTCCAGGACTGAGCTGTGTCTCTTTGTTTTTGACCCAGAAGAAGCTGATAAAATTTTTTGCCTTTACTTTCCTTTCTACAGGTACTTACAGAACCAAAAAACGCACTTGGTAAGCAGTACAAGAAGTTGTTTAGTATGAACAACGTAAGCATTTTCTTCTGCACCTGATAAAACTAGGGGCATTATCCTATGGAATTTGAATTTTCGTAATCATTTTCTTCCAATATTTCAGGTGAAGCTGCATTTTACAGAGAAAGCACTAAGAATGATTGCCAAGAAAGCTACAGTTAAGAATACCGGTGCCAGAGGTTTAAGAGCTATACTGGAAAGTATTCTAACTGAAGCTATGTACGAGGTATTTGAGGATATGAATAATGCATCATTGCATCTGATTCTACTTCTAGCTTTGCTTTTCCATTATATAGCTCCATCATATGCCTCGATAAACTTTATTTCTTGCTTGTATTATTCAGATTCCAGATGTTAAGACAGGAAGTGATAGAGTAGACGCCGTTGTGGTTGATGAGGCACCAGTGGGCTCAGAGGATACCCCTGGGTGTGGCGGGAAAATACTCCGGGGAGATGGGGCATTGGAGCGCTTCCTTGCTGAAAACAAGATGAGTTCAGTGGTATGATTTGCTATATAATATTTGGCATTTTAGATTTGCATATTGTTTTTTGCAGCCCATCTCCTCGCTTCCAAGCATGATAGTATTTAGATGTCCAACCAATGCTAAGAAATGTATTTTTGCTACTAATGAAGCAAACTCTGTTAATGAACATTTTGTCTGAAAAAAGACCCTTGAAATAGAGGGGAAATCTCCAATTTTAATGAAACCATTCTATGACAGTTTAAGAATTTAACATTCCAGTAGAGGCAATTTGTACCTAATTGTTGGCACACCCTTAGAGTTAGTGAATAATACCTTTTGTTTTGGTTAAACTTATGGACTGTTTGCAGCTGTAATGGTGGATCTTACTTAAACATGGCATAAGGTTGTTTTTGGGATAGACAAAATTTTTTGTCCTGGAACACAATTATTGTAAATACTATAAAGCCATAAAGTATAAAATAACAAAAAACCAAGGTCCGGTCACTCGAGCAATAGATGTCTGGTCGAAACTCCAATGAGTGACTGGCGATTGCTGGTTAACAGTGGTAGCAGTGCTAATAGAAAACAGAATAATTTTTTGCTTGTGAGCAAATAGCGTTTCCTTACTAGGAATTAGATTGTGGCAAGCTCCATAGAGAAAGAGCTACTTGCTTGGAGAGCAATTTGTTCTTCTAAGAAACCAGGAAAGATAATATTCTGTTGCGGCAGATCTTTTGGCTAGTTTAGATGAGATAAATAGGTGGGTATCCATGGTTTTGAGGGTAGCCTCCATTGTCTTCCTGATCCCATGGATTTATTCTTTTCCCCTTCTTTTTCTGTGGGCATGGAGGTTCAACAATAAAGTGACATGCATAAAGAGGTTTCTGTTCGCTATATAGAAATATTTTTTGTAGTTTTTATTTTTTAGATTCACTTATGTATATAACATGCAAAATAGTGTTATCGTTTCAAAGTGATATCATTTTCTGTTAGATTATGGGAATGAGTTTGTTTTTGCTTATCTAAGAGTAGTGGTATCATTTCAATGTGATGTACCTCACTCGTGAATCATGACAATCGACTGAGGGATCTCGATCTTTGCAGGAAAATGTTGCATCAGTGAAGGAAGCGTTGCAGGAGGGTGAATCGGAAGATTCATCAAGGGCAATGAGCATGTAACCCAATAACCACCGTAGTCAGTGTTATAATGTGTACAATTTTCTCCATTATTTGTATAAATCACTCATACTTCTGTATTTATTCTTCTGTATAACAGTATAGCTTTAGATTTTAAAGTTCAAGAGATTGAAGGAAATTGACGGAAAGAATACCAAAAGATAACAAAAAAGATCTGTTAAAGTAGCAAATTCAATAAAACAATAAATTCCCGTTTGATGCATTTGGTTTTCAAGTTTATTATGCCATTTTATCATTTTGCTTCTTGCCTTTCTCCCATGGTGCTTTTATGAGGCAAGTGGGTAGATGTATCCGATATAAATCTAAAGGCATGAAAAAATATAGGTTTTGATTTTGGTATTAAGGTTTTTAAAACTTTTTATTTTTATGCCTACATTTATATGTAATAAAAATATTTTTGATAATTGAAAATTAATATATGTGTTTCAAAAGATGAAACCAAAAATATACAAAAAAATTATATAAATATTAGTTGTGATCCTTTAAGCCGTTTTTTTTTTGTTATAAAAAATATTTAGATTTGTAATAAAATATCTATAAAGTTCTTAATACACTTATTATAAAATAGCAGTTGACCCTAATAAAAAAATAATTTAGACATAAAACCATTGAGTTTTTACAAATAATCTTTACTTCTAATATATATTTAAGTAGCCTAAATACACTTTCTAACATATATTTACTTCTAAAATATATTTTTTGTATAACCAAAATAAAACATAAAATTTTCATTGATTATGTCAATATTTTTGTTCTTCGTATGATTAGATCATAAATTATTTAAAACCATTGATATTCTTTGATCCTCTCATTCAAACTGAACTGAAGCATTTAGTTATATCCAATGAAAAAAAAAAGAATGTAGAGAGAAGGAGAATAAACCAAGCGGCAAATATATATATGTATATATATAATGAAATAGCAGAAGAATAGAAAAAAAAAAGAGACAGAGAGGAAGAGAAATGAGTTCAAGCGCGTGAGAAGGGAGGCCGAACTGAGTGAGGATCGAGACCGAGAAAGCGGAGTGAGGGGAGGAGCTTTAGTCGCGTGAGGAGGAGGAGTGAGTGGCAGTCGCGAAGGTGGGATGCGGCAAAAGGGGAGACGTTGCGGGAAGAAGAGGAAGAAGAAAAGGAAAAGAAAGAAGAAGAAGAAGAAGAAAAGAAAGGAAAAAAAAAAGAGGAAGAGAAGAAGGAGAAAAAGACAGAGAAGAATCATGGTCGGGTAGAGAGAGAAAAAGGAGAGGGAGAGAAGAAAAAGGAAGAAGAAGAAAGGAAAAAGAAAGAAGAAGAAGAGGAGTACGGGAAAGGAGGAAGAAGAAAAAAAAAAAAAAAGCTATGGGAAAAGAGGAAGAAGAAGAAGCAAGGAAAAAGGAAAAAGAAAAGAGAAGAAAAAGAAAAAAAAAAGAGAAGAAAAAAAAATTAAGGAAGAAAAACGAAAGGGTGTCGACCAAATATGATGTTGGTGCGCCGTATGTGACGTGTACTGATTCGATCATTAGTGCCTGACATTTTTGGTAACATGCATATGATGGCGCGTGGTGACTTTAACAACCGGGACTAGGTGTCCCAAGGTAAAATCCGTTCCTAATTTTGCATAATATAATTTTTAAAATTATTCATAATTTAATATATGTGTTTCTATTATAAACGAAAAAAATTATTTAAATGGTATTCGAATTTTCAAGATAACAATAGATCAAGTTAGAAAGAATTCTAAAGCTTTCCTGATCACACCATAGATAAGAATTATATGTATTCTGTATGGAAACATAAATTATATGTTTATATAAATATGTATATATATAATGCATTATGTGTAAATATTTAAATATATGTGTAATATAATATATATAATTAGTATGTCTAACTTATATTTGTTTGTATTTATATAGTGTATATATATACACGTTGTTATGCATGTGTGTGTATATATATAAAAATATTCGATAAATGATATATGAATTGATAAGAACATAATTGATAAAAACAGAGCTAGTAAGAACAAATGTGTGAATATATATATATATATATATATCTGGTATGTTGTGTATGATTGTGTATACGTGTTTAAATATGAATGTGTGTAAATATATCAGTAGAGATTGTGTGTGTGTGAATATAAATATATATTCTGTGTGAGACATGTAATGATGGTATATGTTTATATTATAATATATGTGTGTGTATTAAAATATGTGTACATATGTTACGCATGTAAAATATATAACTAGTGTGTGTACATATGTTATGCATGTAAAATATATAACCAGTGTGTGTACGAGTGAAATTTGGGTACAGTGCACTTGTTGTGTGATCTGGTGCACATATACGACGCACTGTACTTGCTATGTGATCTAATACAGTTGCGCGATGAATTTGAATATCATGTACTTGCTGTGTGATCCGGTACAGGATAACTCATAAAGTA